TTATATAATTTTCAATAAAGTTTTGGAAAGTTACGAGAAATCATTTTTAGAAATCACTGATAAGAGACGCGCTCAATTGATAGTTAACAATCTGAGTGATAATAATCACGACACTTCATTTTCGCGTTGCACAGTCCATTCACCAGAATATGTTAGTAATTGTTATTTGCATAGTCAATACATTTTTGGGAAAAATTATTGTGCAAAAAGGAACCACAGCTTTGCAGGCGCGAATAAAGCAAAGAAACGTAAATTGACTCAATTCACATAAGGCAGCAACTTTTACATAACTGGACATAAATAAATATTCATTTGTATATATTCAGAATTTAGTACTTTAATTTTCGTTATTCCAATTTTTGTTATTTTTGGTATTCGTTTTCTGTTTTCTAATTTCTATTACTATTGTGTGCTGGTATTTCTTTGTTCTAAGGGTTTTTTATTAAGTTTTTGTTAATCTTTATGTTTTTTCTGATGTATGTTTTATTTTGATTTTATCTGTTTTTCTTATCATTTATTCTACACTTTTTCCTTCTCACCGTCCTTATTCCTTTTCTGGCAAGAGCTTACCTCAGACCTCCTCGTTGGTTCTTGCTGGACACAACTGTTCAACATTTTTGAATATGTTGATGATATGTAATTTTCAAGTACCAGTATATTATGCCTATAATACTAGTAAATTATCCACATAATCCTGTGAAATTTTGTTGATCGGTTGTGACTAACATGGGGTGTCATTGGAGAATTTATCATTTTTAGCAAAATATTGTAAGCTTTTATAACATCAACTTATTACTCAAATGTGCACGTTACGTTGGATGAAATATCAGTGAATATCAGGGTGAAACAGTTAATAACTACTTTAATATTTATTCATATTAATAATGAATTAATATGTTGCCTTCATATACCAAAAACACTTTTCTGAATTATCCGTCATTTATATCAGGTAGAGTATGTTAAATATGCTGCAATAATAATATATAATTCACTAGCGCTGATGTACGGCACGCCGTGCTGTCGGCCGGCCGGCCTACTCGTGGTGACGTCACACGTCTGTTCTCTCTGGTAACGGTATAACCCGAGGAATGGCCGGAAGAGCTCCAGTTTTCAAGGCGACATCTATCCACATGTGCCTGATGAAGTCAACAAGCAGAAATACGTATTGTTCTGGTTACCTATCCTATTTTCTGCTCGAATCCCTTCTTTTTGGGGATTTTGCCCATTCATTTCTCTATTTGTTATACACATATACCTTTCTCCGCACGATAATTTCCTTTTGTAGATCCTTTGGGCTTGAAGTTAACTTATTTTTTGCTCGAATCCACTTTCCCTTTTTGCG